CGCAAACCCCCCCCCCCCCCCCGCCGCTCATGGGACTTGTTGTTTGGGTGCCTCGTCCTCCCATTGGCTGCTATGGGGCCGGCTCCCTGGTCTGGCTACATCTCCCATGATGCACAACAGGTTCCCCTTTTGGGGAGGGGCTTGGAAGGCGTATGGCTGCGGAGCATCATGGGAGACAAAGTCCCCTGGAGAGCGTGGCGCATCGAGGAGAAGAGGGGAGCGAGGTAACTGAACTGCATCTCCCATGGGGCATTGCAGGATCCAAATATTGCAGGTTTCGGGCATTGGTTTTTCCACTGAAATCCCCCCACAGGAAAGAGAAGCTTTTTGCAACAATAACAACAAAAAAAGCTGGTTTAGTGGAAAAGCCAATTTTCTATATGGTCTTGATGGAAAACTTTCAGTTGGCCCCTAGCTCCATCCTCTCTCCCTCCTGTGTCCTGAGGAGGCTGTGTCATCCCTGGGCTCTATGGGGGCTGGTGCCTTTGCCAGGGCTTCCCCCAGGCTGTGAGCAGGCCCCAGAGCACAGCGGGCAGCTGGGTTCGCTTCCCCCTGCTCCCAGCCCCGCAGTGGGGTGGAAGCACCGTGTGGATCAGGTGTCGAGTGATGGGGCAGAAAGGGGAATCCTGCATGGGAGAGCTTTGTGCTGCTGTCCTTACTAGTGCCGTGCGCGGGGTCTGAGCTGACGGGCATCGCAGACGCTGGGGAAGAGCCCAGGGCTGGGATAGCAGGGGGTTGTGGGTCCGGATTGAAGGGCATGGAAGAGCTGGGTGGGGAAAGGGATAGCCATGCACACGCTGTCTCTCGCCAGCGCTCCCGATCACACAAGCCCCTGGCAGCACGGGCCCTCTGGGCTTTGGAAGTGGGCCGCCCACTCCGTCCTGTCAGCTTTTCCAGGCTGAGGCCTGCAGAGCGGGGTTTGGCTGCTGGCCCAGCCCTCAGGGGCGAGGTTTCCCTGCTTGGCGGTTGCCGGTGTGCAGCCTGGACCCTGGTGGGGGCTCGCTCTGTTTTGCTCAGCCTGTGGGGCTGTGCCAGCTTCTCCAAGGAGGGGGGCCGTGCTCCCTGCTCAGGGCCCCGAGCAGGACAGGAAGGCTTGTCTGAGACAGCCCTAATGGCCTGTCACCCAGGGGCAGGGCCCTGGGTTAGGGTAGGTGGCTGGAGAGGTGTGAGCTGGGGGCCGATCATTGCAGGGAGCCGTTAACACTGGAACCCAACAATGGCACACTGCTCTCCCTGAGGATCGCTTTGTTAGAAACCTGCAGCTTGTCTGCTTAGCCAGGGCCACCGGGTGTATCAGCCCCGACCAGGTCGGGTGTGGGGGCATCCAATCGCTGCCGAGGTTGGGCAGGGAGTGAGGAACTCCAACTCGGCTTGTGCCCAGAATGGGGCTTCACCCACAGACCCGGGGGCGAGGGAGCGACGAGGAGGAGGGAGCCCTGGTTGTTGTATCCTCTGCACGGGGGACTCGTTCCTCCCTGCAGCCTGCCCTGGGCATGTCAGTTCAGCGAGGCCATGTGAGTGTCACACTCCTGGGGGGCACTGGCCAGACAGCGGGCACTCAGAGCAGTGGGGAAGTTCTTCCCCATTCCCCCAGGAGCAGGAGTGGCTACAAATCCGAGCCCAGAATTGGGCCCTCTCTGCTCACGCACCAGAGGACATGGGAACGCTGCTGCTCAGAGCTTTGGAATGAGCCTGCGGCTGCCGCGGGGCGACAGGGCCGTTACTCAGCAGCCTCATCTCCTTCCTGTCAGCCACTGAGTCATGGAGCGAGGCCTCCATGTCTGGCTGGAGCTTGCTGGAGCCCTGGGCCAGGGAGATCTCAGAGCCCCCACCCTGACCATATGCCTGAAGAGCACCCGCCTCCTAGAGTGCCCTCTGCATCACACGCCAGTCCACGAGGGGCCTCCGGGCCAGGGCACTAACAGAGCCAGATACCTACGCTTCCCACTCCCCCTTTAGCTGTTCCCTGTTCCCCTGCCTCCATGTCCAGCTGACTATGCACCAAGGTGCTAGCTTCTGTCCTGGGGCCCATCCTGGGGTCAGATCAGTGGGGCTGGAGCTGGGCAATTATGCCAAGGCATTTCCTGCCATCTCTTTGGCGCTGGCTTCCTGCCTGTCCTGGGGAGGGCGGATTGTTCCCAGAAGAGGGGGAGATGATCCGTGACTGCTGGAGAACATTCCCAGAAAGCAAACCTCATATTCATAACCATGGGAATTCACTGGGGCGGCTGATTGCTTTCGCCCCATCGGGGAGTAGAAACAATTCTCAGGACCATGGTCTCCAATCAGTAGAACGGGAGGTTTGAAACACCCCCCAAGCTGCTTGCTGAGTAAGTGAGCGGCCAAGAGTGACGCACTCAAAGAATCTGGCTAATCGTTCCAACGGGTGCCCTCTCGGTTTGCAGACACGCCGCAGCCGGATTTGCTGGCTGCAGGGCTGGCACTACCAATGCCGACCATTCACAGCTTGTGAGCCTGGCTCCAAACAGCAGATTTAAAAATTCTAAATGCTGGGCTGCTTCTGCGCGGAAGTGGTGGAGAATGCGGACAGCCTAGGTCATCGTGTGGGAAATAGAAGGAACCCCAGGGAGCTGCTCGGACACAGAGGCTGTGGACTATGGTGCTGGCAAGGCTGGGTGCCCAATGGACTGTGGGCATCAGAAATCCCCAGTGGGTATTGTTTAATGTCCTGCTGAAAGGCAGGGGAAGAGCCAGGCCCCAACAGAGTGTGGCTGGCTTCATGTATGGAATGACAATGACTCCATGGGGCCCGGGTGGTTGGGGGCAGGTGGCCCCACAGACCCAATGGGGAGAGGCCTGGGGCCCAGCTGGTTGGGTGGGGGCCAGACATCGGCCTGGGACTGACTCTTTCCTTTTATACAGGGACAACTGTGAAGGTTAAAGAGAAACCTAAGAAAGGAAAAAAGGAGAGGCCTCCCAAGCCCACCAAGAAGCCCAAGGAGAAGCAGCCAAAGGCCACCAAGAAGCCCAAGGAGAAGCAGCCAAAGGCCACCAAGAAGCCCAAAGAGAAGCACCCAAAGGCCACCAAGAAGCCCAAGGAGAAGCAGCCAAAGGCCACCAAGAAGCCCAGGGAGAAGCCTCCCAAAGCCACCAAGAAGCCATCTGGCGGGAAGAGGCCCAAGATACCACCCCCCACCCAGCCCTACGAGGAAGAGGAGAGGTACCGGCAACCCGAGAGACCTCTGATCCCCCCACCAGCCAAAAAGGATTACGACCTGCCCGAGACTTCCAGAATCGCCTCACCCTATGACGAGGAAGAGGAGAGGTCCCGGACATATGGGGAACGGGATAAAGGTAAGTGCTACAGATTGGCTGATCGGGTTGCCAGTCACTCAGCACGAGACGCCCACCTGCCCCTCACTCCTTCCCGCCTGGTCCCATCACCCGCTGCCTCTCCAGAGCCCCCCAACCTCAAGGGCGACCCCCCCAATTCCTACACACGACAGGCTCCTCCCCCTTTAGCGTGAAAGGACATGACCAAGGAGTTACCAATCCGTGAATGTCACTAAACATGCTGCATGGCCAGTCTGAGCGGTGGCTTCTCCCTGGAGAATGCCTCGTGGGCATCGTCTGGGGCGACATCTCCCTGCTTGGTAGCATCAGGGTCCCTTGGAGTAGAAACAGGGCCAGGAGGCTCTCGGGTGCCATCACTGCCTCTGGCTGTATTGCGGCTCGGGATTTCCAGGAGGCGGCAGTGTTGTGGAACTTGTGCTTCAAGACTGGGTTATGAGTCTTTTCCGGGGCATGTTCGGTGCCGTTTCTCTCCACTGAGGCAGAGGGCCAGGTGCAGTCACTCCAGGGGTCCCCCAGTCAGCTTGGTCGTCTCTCACTAAGATTTTCTCACCCAGCCTGACCGCCTAGCCACAAATAAGCACATCCACTTGATTCTTATGAACATCCAGTTTAACCAGTCCAGGTGAGACCCTAAATTACCTCCCATAAACAACATTGCTAGCATCTGGTTTGCAATCGCATGGGCTTCATTGCTATAGGCCGAGAGAAAAATTGCAATATTGTGTGATAAGCCACCTTTATTGGGGGGCCATAATCTAGATCGCTTGCTTGAATGTCTGCAGGAACATTTCTGCCAGGACGGTGAGGAGCTGAGGTGCCATGTTTGATACCATTTCTCTCGACAAACAATTGGACATCTTCGGATGTGAGTTAGGTTCCGTTGTCACCATCTGCTCAGAAACTCCCGTCCCTGAAAAGCCAAGTCCTAACCCTCTGCGCTGACCTAGTGGAATGCACACAGAATACTGCAGGTCGGTTAGGTTGGGCATCTACGGTAATATATGGCCCTGAAAACAGTCCAGTATTATCCATGCAATGGAGCACGTTTAGGCATGTGTTGCATTGGCTGACAATCTTGACGCTTGTTCTACCATTTCCTCCATTGTGTATCAATCCCTGCCCACCACCCGGGACTCTTGGCCAGACTTTGCCTTTTTGAAATTCCCAAATAGTCTTTGTCTAATTCTTGGAATACGCGGGCCCTGAGCCCCATAGGAATAACCACGTTCGCAACCTTGGTATACACTTAACGGTTCTTTGTGAGCAAAGAAAGATGGACACAGCTGTCCGTGCATATTACTCCATCCACTCCTCGAAATGTCCTGCTCTTTCACCAGCACTGGGTCATTGTTAGGGTTTTGTTGGCCATGTCAAGGGTGCCATATAGAATATACCTGCCTGGCTCTGGTGCCACTTCCGTATGCCAGCTTACCTGCCACTTTCCAACGGGCCAGCGTGTCAAGCAATCTGCATTCGCATGTCGGTTGGTCCTTTTGAACATCACCCCTCTCTATAACCATGCTGGAGTCATTGCCAGGACTCCTTTAAAACCGAAAGCAGTGGTTGGTGAATCGTTGCCTACCCAGGGATTGGTGACACTTTTTAACTCCACTCTGAGCTTCTTGCTCACTTCAAGTACAGCTCCCTTCCCTTCTGCCAAGAGATCTAAAGCAGTGTGATCTTCCACCCCATGTGAAATGACTGCTCCAGTTCCATTATGTGAGGTGGCACAAGCTATCTTCATAAGCAAAGGTGCACTGTAGTTGGTAAGGACCCTTCCCAATCCTGGAAGCTTCTTGACTTCATCAAGAACAGTGGCTCACTGTAGACCAGTGGTTTTCAAACTTTTTTTCTGGCGACCCAGTTGAAGAAAATTGTTGATGCCTGTGACCCAATGGAGCTGGAGATGAGGGGTTTGGGGTGTGGGAGGGGCTCAGGGCTGGGGCAGAAGATTTGGGTGTGGGGATGAGGGTAGTGGGGTGGGGCTGGGAATGAGGGGTTCAGAGTGTGGGAGGAGGCTCTTGGCTGGGGAAGAGGGTTGGGGTGCAGGAGGGGGATCAGGGGTCTGGGCTGGGGGTGCAGGCTCTGGGGGTGCAGGCTCTGGTGGTGGGGCTGGGGATGAGGGGTTTGAGGTGCAGGAGGGGGCTCCGGGTTTGGGGGGGAGAGTACTGGGCTGGGGCAGGGGGTTGGGGCACAGGGTTGGGGCATGAGCTTACCTCCAGCGGCTCTGGTCACTGGTGAAGCCGGGGTGCAGAGGCAGGCTTCCCGCCTGTCCTGGCACCACAGACTGCGCTGTGCCCCGGAAGCGACCAGCAGCAGGTCCAGCTCCTAGGCGGAAGTCCACAGGCACCATCACCCCGAGCTCCCATTGGCCAGTTCCCAGTCAATGGGAGTGCGGAGCTGGTGCTCTGGCGGGGGCAGTGCACAGAGCCCTGTGGTTCCCCTGCCTAGGAGCTGGACCTGCTGCTGGCCACTTCCAGGGCACAGCGCGGTGTCAGAACAGGTAGGGACTACTAGTTTTTACTGGCCGGCTGCCAAGGTCCCTGGGTGCTGAGCAAAGCGACCCAGTGCCTTGCATTCCGTGACCCAGTACTGGGTCGCGACCTGAAGTTTGAAAACCACTGCTGTAGATGGACAAGGTGGGTGAGGTCTTTTATTGGACCAACTTCGATTGGTGAGAGAGTCGAGCTGTAGACCTGCACCACTTCTGTGCAACAGCTCATAATCTGGCCGCTGCGTTAAGTAAGGTCGGTCGGTAGTAACTGACCGTGCCCAGAAAGGAATGTGAGTGGGACACATTTCGTGGCTGGGATGCCATAAGGACAGCTTCGCCTTGCTCTTGGGATTTATGCAGCTCATCTTTGTCGATGGAATGGCCGCCGTATGCAACTGAACCTTGGAAAAAAATCCCATTTCTCCTTGTTTGCCCCAAGCCCACATTCAGACTCACAACGGCCACCGGGAGGTTCTCCACGTGTTCCTCACCCCTAGCTCTTGTGACCAGTGTAGTAGCCTAGTAATGCCCTCTAATAGCAGGTCCAGAGCTTGCTTCCAGATAGCGAGTGTGGATGCTATTCCAAACACCGGCCAGTGATGTTGGAATAAGTCCTTGTGTGTGTTCATTGCGCAGTACTTGTGACCATCTTCAATCTCCATTTGTAGATAGGCTCAGGCTCAGTTGATCTTGGAGAAGCGCCTCCCACCAGCTAATGAGGCAATGATAGCCTGACTTCCAGGCCAGGAGTACTGATCTTCATGCAGTACCGGGCAATCTTGAAATCACCACAAATGTGGTCAGCTGTGTTCTTTTTCATAGAATATCAGGGTTGGAAGGGACCTCAGGAGGTCAACCCCCTGCTCAAAGTAGGACCAATCCCCAGGCAAATTTTTGCCCCAGCTCCCTAAATGGTCCCCTGAAGGATTGAACTCACAACCCTGGGTTTAGCAGGCCAATGCTCAAACCACTGAGCTATCCCTCCTCCCCCTTTTACACTCCATTTGCTCCAATTGACCTTGGGTATAATTCTGGAGTCCTAAGCGCCCTATGGCAAAATGCACTGGATGAACTTTGCAAAATGTAGGAATTGCTCCCTCTTCAGGCACAAGTTTTGCTGGCAGGTGTTTTAAGGTTTTGATGCCCTCCTGAAAGACATCCTCTGCCTTGTCCACAAGGTTTGTTTTGGGCCAGAGGCCATAACATTTTGTAAATCTGCTGGTATTTCGAAATCAACAGGAATTAGGTGCCTAAACAACTTGGAGGATCTGGACCTTTATGCTCTGCTGTCCACCTGAATCTCTCTCAGCCACTCTCCCTCAAATAATACCTGACCCTCTCGCTTCACAGCAGAGAGGCTTAACAGGCCCTGTACACATTTGTATGTCGCGTTCAGTGTAATAACCGCCAGGGCAGTGAGGACTTCCCCGTGTATGTTTTTAGTAGCACCAAGTTTTCTGCAACGTCCCCTCTTTAAAGAGCCTCAGATTATCTGACACAGACATAGCAGACCTGGTATCCAGCTCCATTTGACCTCTTGCTCCATCCGGTGTAAAGAAATCCAACGGACCCGTTATTGTTACACAAACTGTTGGAGAGATGGAATTGGAATTGGAAAAGATTCAGAAAAGGGCAACAAAAATGATTAGGGGTATGGAACGGCTTCCCTGTGAGGAGAGATTAATAAAACTGGGACTTTTCAGCTTGGAAACTAAGGGGGGATGTGATAGAGGTCTATAAAATCATGCCTGGTGTGGAGACAGTAAATAAGGAAGTGTTATTTATTCCTCATAACACAAGAACTAGGGGTCACCCAATGAAATTAATAGGCAGCAGGTTTAAAACAAACAAAAGGAAGTATTTCTTCACACAGAGTACAGTCAACCTGTGGAACTCCCTGCCAGAGGATGTTGTGAAGGCCAAGACTATAACAGGGTTCAAAAAAGATAAGTTCGTGGAGGATAGGTATTAGCCAGGATGGGCAGGGATGGTGTCCCTAGCCTCTGTTTGCCAGAAGCTGGGAATAGGCGACAGGGGATGGATCACTTGATGATTACCTGTTCTGTTCATTCCCTCTGGGGCACCTGGCATTGGCCACTGTCGGAAGACAGGATACTGGGCTAGATGGACCTTTGGTCTGACCCAGTACGGCTGCTCTTATGTTCTTATGCCCCAGCATTCTCCGTGGACTCCACGCTGTCACCGGCGAGCTGACGAAAGCCCCCGGGCTTGTCCTTGTGAGATCGTGGTTGTGCGTTTTGCACATCATCTGTCTGCGCCCCAGTTTGTTGCAGCTTCTGCAGGGTTTGTCTGTGAACCAACCGTCCATTGCACCGAGGGCCAGTTTGCCGCAGCAGGGGCATGCAGACAGAGTGCTGTCCGTTTTTGAGCTGACCTCCCGTTTATTTGTTGCCTGGGTGCTGTTGCAGCTCCCAGGCGGTTTTAGCAGCTGTCTCCATCGATAATGCAATTTCTAGTGCACATGTGAGGGTTAAAGCAGCCTCAGTCAATGCTCCATCTTGCAAACCGCACAGTAACTGAACACCCCATTGAAACGCTCTCCAAACTGGCACAGCGCTGTTAATGTCCTTGACCCAGCCATAAATTTGGGATTGCTGTTTGGTTCTATTTATAAAAGCGGAAACACTCCGCGGTGCCCAGGGGCTGGGGGGGAGGTGACTTGGGAGAATTTCCACAACCTCAGCAAACATCTGCTGAGTAAGAGAAGCCCGGAGGGTTGTGTTCCAGGTTATTAGCTGTAACCCCCCCTTCCGCTGAGTAAAACCACCACTTTAGTCATCTCACTTGTACCATTAGCTATTCCGAGCTGTTCCACTCAGCCAGAGAGCTGGGCCAGTCCTCGCCAGAGCTGCCAAGGGCATTTTCCCCAAACAGCCAGGGGTCTTTAAACCCTTTCCCTGCAGGCCGCCGGATACCGAGTGCCTCCCCCTGGGGACTGTCCCCGCTGGGTACCGAGCGCTTACCCCCAGGGGACCGTCCCCGCCGGGTACCGAGCGCCTACCCCCCGAGGACTGTCCCCGCTGGGTACTGAGCGCCTTCCCCCCCCAGGGGACCGTCCCCACCGGGTACCGAGCGCCTACCCCCCCGGGGACCATCCCCGCCGGGTACTGAGCGCCTACCCCCCCGGGGACTGTCCCTGCCGGGTACCGAACGTGTACCCCCTGGGGACCGTCCCTCCGGGTTCCAAGCGCCTACCCCCCCCAGGGATTGTCCCGCTGGGAACCAAGCGCCTACCCCCTGGGGACTGTCCCACCGGGTGCTGAGTCTCTCCCTGCAGGGACAAGGGCCATGTGGCTTCCCCGGGCCCTGAGAGCTCCTCCTTCTCCCGGCAGGGTGGCGCTGAGCCCTTTGCCCGGCCTGGTCCATGCGCAGCCTGACCCCCTGTCATGTGGCTCTGCCCGCAGGGATCAAGAGGGCTGTTCGGTCCCAGCCCCCTGCCTTCCCGCCCCTCCCCAGCCCCTCGGCCCAACGCTCTGAACTCCTGCCCTGTGTTTTGCAGCTGGATTTCCCGAGGAGCCGGACGAACCGCGCTGGGCTGAAGAACAGGAGCCGGGGAGCCGCCGGAGTAAGAGCGATTCAGGGAGGGGGGTTGGGGGGGACCCAGGGAGGAGGGGTGGGGGTTGGGGGGGACCCGCCCCCCTTGCAGCACTGCCCTGGCGCTTCGTACAGGCTTGGCCCCATCTCCCTAGGGCACAGGAGCTGGGAGCAGCTCGGTGAGCTTTGGCGGGAACAGCATGCGCTGCTGAGAGCTGTGGGGGGCGGAGGTGCAGGAGCGAGGGTGGCACGAGGGCAGGGCATGGGCAGCATGCGGGTCATGCAGCACGAGGGCGGCTGGGCAGTGCATGGGCAGGGGCGGCTGCAGAGGCCCTGGCGCAGTGGGAAAGTGCCCGGTCTGAGGACCCCTCCCAGCCAACGGGTTTTGTTCCTAGATGAGTTCCATGAGCCCCCGACGGAGCCGTGGGAGCCCGGCAGGGAGGACCAGAGACCAGCGCCCGACCCCGGTGAGCAGTCGCCAGCTGCATGGGGCCTGGCCCTGGCCGTGTGCCCCTCAGTTCCCTGTCCTGAACCCAGAGCGTCCCCGTGGCCTCAGGGAGGGCAGGAGAGTCTCCAGGAGCCCCCAGCCCTGGCACATCCTGTGGGAGCCCGGGGGGGAGGGGGGAGGGCCGCCCCTCGGGCCCACGGACCTGGTGCAGCCTCCCAGATGGGGCTGTAGCAATGACTGTGCTGCCCTCTCTGGCCTGCTGTTTGGCTCCAGCCCGCCGCAGCAGAGAGCAGCCCCTGCCGTGTCCCCCCCGCCTGGCCCCGGCACCCTCGCGGGCAGCAGCCGGTGACTGTGTCTGTCTCTCTCCGCAGTGCTGACGGAAAAGCCCGAGCCACCCACGCTGGACTACAATGAGCAGATTGAGCGGGAGGACTACGAGGACTGTACGGGGCTGCTGCTATCTCCCCGTGGCCCCTCCGCCCAGACCCTCGCTCCTCTCTGGGCCCCGGCCCTGTGGGGACAGCCCTGACCTAGAGCAAGCGCACCCCAGGGACCTCCCCACACCAAGAAGAAGGGGCCGGCCTGCGACCCCCGATGCTTCCTTGGGACGGGGCAGTCTCACCTCCTAGGCCCCGGACCCCCAGCGCTGCACAGCCCCATCCCCTGTGCCCCTGGCCTCCCAGCACTCCCCTGAGGCTGCAGTGTGGAGCCTGGACCATAGAATGGCCCCTGCCCAACAGCTGGGGACTGAGCAGAGCCCGGAGCCCCAGCGCTGGGATCCTGTAAGATGGCTCTTAAACACCTGATACCCCTTGGGCCAAAGTCTTACAGGGCCTGAGCCACCGTGATGTCCACGGTGCCAGGTGGGGAGGATCAGGCCCACAGTCTCTGTGCGGGGGGGACTACAACCAGGGCTGCTGGCATCAGCTGCTCTCAGAGTAAAGCTGCCAGGATCCGGCCTGCTCTGCCCCCTTGACCCCACTCGCAACAGTGAAGGGAGACCACCACCCCCTGACACTGACTGCCCACTCCTGCCCCAGGATTGCCCCGGCTCTCGGATGGCATGGTAGAAAGCCATCCCTGCATCTGCTGGCCAGGCTGCTGCCCTGTTCTCCCCAGGGGGGGCATTACCCTTCCTCTTGCCAGCCCTTTCTGCCCACTCTGGACACTCGCGCCACATGGGAGCCCCCTGCCCCAACCCTGGGAGAAACCCCCTGGTTAGAGCCTCCGCTCTCCCTCCCGCAGCAGGACAGTGACAAACCCATGTTCCTTCCCCCCAGTCGAATATGTCCGGCAGCAGCAGAAACCCAAGAAACCTCCGAGCAGGAAGAAACCTGAGAGGCCGCCATTGGAGGTGGAGGAGAAGCCAAGTACGTTTCCTCCGGCCCCAAGTCTTCCCCAGCCAGGGAGGAAGGGGGCTGGGGGACAGGCAGGGAAGAAAACCCCTTGAGTGAGCCACCACTGGAGGGGTCTGAGGCTGCCCTGCATCGGTGCAGAGGCTGTTGTGTGCATCGGCACCAAACCAGAGGGACCAGGGAGCCACACCCCTCCCCATACTTGTTAACAAGAGGCACATAAGTGCAGAATTCATGTCCTCTGCAGATTGTTTTTCCCCCGCAGAATAATAGAGTCTGCTGCGGAGGTGCTGCGATTACACCTTTCACACACCAGGGGCTGCTGTGTTACCAGAAGAAAGGGCAGCTGGCTCAGCCAGCCGCAGAGAGGAAGGGGGCACTTTGGCCTTGGGCCCCTCCCCCTTCTACAAAGGTTCTGGTGCCCTGGGTCATGTGCCCGCTGGTCAGAGAGGTGCCCACTCCTCATGCCCAGCTCCCCATGCAAAGCAGCACCTCCCCACTGCTTGGGTGTCAGAGCCCTTCCCATGGGGCTCACAGGCTCCGCTGCATGGGGAGCCGCAGGGGCAGTGCCCTTGGGTGACGTGCCCAGGCCCAACTAGACCCTTGGACTCTGCCCCTGCCCCTTAGCCACACATCTGTGACCCACACAGCCTGGGAACCAAGGACCTGCTCAGTGTAGGAGGGGCTGGGGTGCTCCCACACCGTGGTTATTCTGGACCCCTGCAAAGTCCCTAGGGGCTAGTGAAGCAGAGGGGCAATTTAGGGCAGCCCTCAGGTCTGCTCCAGCCACTGTCCCTGAATTCGCCTCAGAGCACCTCAGACCACAGGCCTAGCACCCTATAATACCACAAATCGATGGGGAGGGGTTGTGGGGGTTGGACCATGATCTCTCTGAAAGGCCCCTTGCCTGCCCTGTCCTGGGCCACGCTGTGCTGCGGGCAGCTGAACATTAGCCCTCGGAGGGTCTGTCCTGGGCTAAGTCCCCCCAGCCCTGGCGGCTCTCCCCCACGGGCACCTGGCTGTACCCGCCTCGCTGGGGCTCACTCGGACTCTCTCCTCCCCCTGCAGAGCCGCCCGTGGAGCTACCCCCTCCGCCCCCCGAGAGGGACTACGATGAGGAGCTGCCACTGCCACCACTGCCGGACTATGACGACAGTAGGTGTCGGCCGCCTCAGGACGGACCCTCGGCCCCCAGCCGCTTGTGCCCGGCCTCCTGCCCCAGGACCCGGCCTCCTCCCCCACCAGCACTCGGCCCCTGCCCTTCCCCCCAGCACCCTGCCTTCCCCGCAGCTCTCTGTCCCCCTCTCCCCTGCTCTGGACCCCACAGCTTTCTGTTCCCTTCCCTCCCACTGCCCTACACTCAGACACCACAGCCCTGGCCACCGTATGATCCCGCTCCCACCCCCACCATGGCCTGGCCTCCCACCCAGCATGACGGGGCTTAAGCCAGCCAGGGGGGATCTGGCATTCCCCCCCAGGAGCTAACAGGGGCCCCAGCCCTAGTTAGAAGCAGCAGACAGGGGGTCCCCCCCGGAGAGCCGTGACTCTGGGCAGGGCTGGGATCCTGCGGGGAGTGCTGCCCAGTGCCTACACGGCCCAGCCTTGGTGCATGCCAGCCCAGCGCCATGTCCTGTGGCATACGGGGGGGAAAATCCCTGGCGTGTTCTCCCCCACTTCCCACTGCGTTCAGCGGCAGCGTCCCTGGCGCCCGGCTGGCCCCTCAGCGTGCCCCGCTCTCGCCCGCAGTGGAATACGGCCTGCCCCAACCCAAGAAGTTCCCCAGCAAGAAAGAGGGTGAAGGCGAGATGGAAACGGATGAGGAGCAACTCAAGCCACGTAAGGAGAGGGCTTCCCCCAGTGGGGTGGGGCAGGGCACACAGGGGAAGGGGCCATGCACATGGGGCAGGGCCAGGTTAATTGTGAGGGGGGCCAGGCACAGGGGGCGGGGCCATGTTAATTTTGGGAGAGGCCAGGAACATGGGGCAGGGCCATGCTAATTGTTGGGGGGGGGCAGATATGCTGCCCATGCACGCATTCCTCAGTAGACCAAACCCCTGGCCATGTGGGCTCCCTTCTCCCGGCTGGCCAGTGCTTCTGGCTACCCCTGGCCAGGGCGCTGGCCCTGTGGCTACATGAGGATCCCCAGGGACACAGTGCTCAAGCGGCCCGGGCAGAAGGAACCCACCAGCCTGGTCTAACCCTCCCTCGGCCACATTGGCCTTGACCCTGCCCCTCTCCCCTCCTGGAGCAGGAAAGCCCAAGAAAGGCGGCAGCAGCAAGGAGGAGGAGGAGGTGGACACGGATGATGACAAGTGGGCGGAGGAGAAGACCAAGGAGCGGAAAGGTGAGTGCGGAACTGCCTCCCTGAACCACGTCCTCTCCGGAGCGGGGCCACACTCAGGACCCACGGCGGGGCCCAGCCCTGCGGCACCATACCCAGAATCCCGGCCCTGCGGCACCGTACCCAGAATTCCCGGCCAGGGCCCGGCCCCATGGCACCATACCCAGAATCCCCGGCCGGGGCCCAGCCCCGGGGCACTGTACTCAGGACCCTCAGTGGGGCCCGCTCTCCGGCCTGGCCCTGCATAGGTCATTCCAGGTGCTCTGGCTCTGCTAGCTTGAGTTAGAGAGACGTGCACACAGTTCCCCCCACCCCCACCCCACTGCCTCTCTGCCCTTCCCAGCCCCCTCCCCTTCTGCTGCTCTGGCCCTGCTCAGCTGCCAAGGGGTGCAGGGCAACAGGCCCCTATCCCACCTCTTCTCCGTGCCCCTGCCTGGCATCCTCAGTGCCCGCCCGGAGCAGGGGGCCCAGCCCCAGCCCCGGCATCCTCCCCCTGCCGCTCACTAACCCCCCTCCCCAACCACCTGCAGGGAAGCCGAAGAAGCCGGGCGGGAAGAAGTGGGAGACAGATGAGGACGAATGGACGCCCCCGGAGGAGAAAACGAGTGAGTGACCCCTGGGCTGTGTCAGGGGCCCAGCCCGCCAGCCAGGGGGCAGAGCCACGTGCCCCCTTTGGAGAGCAGGGGGCAGGAATGATGCAGGGCAGGAGGGCGAGTGAGGTCGGTTTGCCCAGGGCTGGTTGATGCAGAAACTGGGCACGGTCCCAGCAGCCAAGCTGCCCGAGCCTCAGTGCCTCCGCCGGGTTGGTGCCCACACTGGGCCTGAGGGCCTGACTGGCACCTGCTGCCCGGCAGGGGCCATGCCAGCTGCAAGGGGCAGAGAGCAGGGAGAGGTCCCCCAACTCTCTGCCACCAGCAGTGGGCACAGCAGGGTCACTCCTGGGCAGGGGGCAGCTGGGTGTGCAGGCGTGGTCCTGAGCTGGGGAATGAGGGGGCCGGAGGGAGTTGGGCTAGTGAGGGCCTCCTCCCGTCACGCGGGCGCTGCCCTCCCTGCCTTGCAGAGTGCCCCCCCATCGGGATGGAGTCCCACCGCATCGAGGACGACCAGATCCTGGCCTCGTCCATGCTGCGGCACGGCCTGGGAGCTCAGCGCGGTCGGCTCAACATGCAGGTAGGAGCAGCCCCATCCCCTGCCAGGCCCCCCAGCCCCGGGGTCGCCCCCACCTGCCGTTGGCCTCAGAGCAGACTCTGCCCTCTCCCCTCTCCCTCTGCACAACCCCCAGGCCGGCTCCAATGAGGACGATTTCTTCGACGGCGCCTGGTGCGCGGAGGACGACACCCGGGCTCACTGGATTGAGGTGGACACCAGGAGAACCACGAAATTCACCGGGGTCATCACACAGGGCCGGGACTCCCAGATCCAGTACGTATGGGCCGGGTTTTTTTCCCCCCAGATCCAGTATGTACGGGCCGGGAGGGTTCCCAGATCCAGTACGTAGGGGCTCTGTGTGTGTGTGTGTGTGTGTGTGTGTGTGTGTGTGTGTGTGTGCGCGTGCGTGTGTGTGTGTGTGTGTGTGTGTGTCGT